GGATTCGCCGTGCATTGTATTTGGCAGTTGTGCGACCAGCGCTGGGCTACGCCACTCAAGTGTGGTCGCCGCAGTCGGTGGAGCTCATCAACCGAGTGAAACGTGTTCAACGCCGAGCTTCAAAGTTTATTCTAGGCCTCCCATTCATGTGTGACGTATCCTATAAAGACAGACTCATTTCGACAAAACTTCTTCCCCTCTCATTTTGGCATGAATATTTAGACTTAATGTTTTTCTTCAAAGCTATTACTGGCATTGTATCGATATCTCAAAATTCCTTACCTGAACGTATTGCTCCTGTAAGGGTCACAAGATCATCTGCTAATGTCAACGCAATCTCATTCCGTCAACGAAAACATAAAACAACAACTTATAATCGATCATTCTTTCTTCGTACAACTAGAACTTGGAACTCTCTCCCGGAGCATTTACGGCTTATTAATCTATCTTTTATTCAATTTAAGAAAGGAATATTAGCATACTACTTGACTGCATTACGATCCTGCTACAACGTTGACGATCCACGAACTTGGAAGACTGTCTGTGTCAAATGTAACAAAAGCAGAAGTCTCATCCGACCATTAACTTGCTGTTACTAGAGGGGCGTTTGCACATTGCGATTTGTCCTGTGCGATTCGGATTTTGGTGTATAATTCATTTGATGCCTCAATTCCAAAAATCTGAATTGAAGCGAAACTTTAATTGCACAATTGACGCGTGCCTACTCGATTGGATTCGCCAAAATACGAATCGCACACGGCGGATCGCGGTGTGTAAACGTACCTTAAGAAAACTAAGTATAATTACTTAGGTGATTACCGAAAATTTTCCAAGCTGATTCGTTGCCATTGAGGTGATTATAACGTGATAATCACCTAAGTTTTGACTATTAAATGACGAAGAAATGTGTATTTTTATTTTTTTCCCAAATAATCACCTATGAAATTATACTAAAACAATTGTTCGCCTTAGGCTCGGTGGTTATTGTTAAATGAAAACTTCGACTTTGTCTCTGTCCCTACTTACCGATAATCACCTAGCCTTCGGCAATAAATTGTTAATTATTTCTGTTTTCTATATTTATATTGATATTTTGTAAAGGGCCCACTGTAATTGGTGTTAAGCTGTTGTGGTGTCCCAGCTTCTTTAATGCATTCATTGTATAATGTTTGGAAGCGAAGCACAATAAATAAATAAATAAATAAATAAAGGTTCCTCCCTCTGAGGACAAGGTTCCTCACTCTGAGGACAAGGTTCTTCAATCAGAGGACAAGGTTCCTCACTTTGAGGACAAAGTTATTTAAACTCTGAGGACAAGTTTCTTCATTCTGAGAACAAGCTTCTTCATTCTGAGGACAAGGTACTTCACTCTGCGGACAAGGTTCCTCACTCTGAGGACTAGGTTCTTCACGCTGAGGACAAGGTTTTTCACGCTGAGGACAATGTTCCTCACACTGAGGACAAGGTTCTTCACTCTGAGGACAAGGTTCTTCACTACGAGGACAAGGTTCTTCACTCTGAGGACAAGGTTTTCCACGCTGAGGACAAGGTTCTTCACCCTGAGGACAACTTCTTAACACTGAGGACAAGGTTATTCACTCTGAGGACAAGGTTCTTCACTCCGAGGACAAGGTTCTTCACTCTGAGGACAAGGTTCCTCACACTGAGGACCAGGTTCTTCAATCTGAGAACAAGGTTTCTCACACTGTGGACAAGGTTCCTAACTTTGATGACAAGGTTATTTAAACTCTGAGGACATTTTCCTTCACTCTGAGGACAAGGATGTTTACTCTGAGGACAAGGTTCTTCACGCTGAGGACAAGGTTTCTCACACAGTGGACAAGGTTTCTCACTTTGAGGACAAGGTTCTTCACTCTGAGGACAAGGTTCTTCACTCTGAGGACAAGGTTCTTCACTCTGAGGTCTAGGTTCTTCAATCTGAGGACAAGATTTCTCACACTGTGGACAAGGTTCCTCACTTTGAGGTCAAAGTTCATCACTCTGAAAACAAGGTTCTTCACTCTGAGGACAAGGTTCTTCACTCTGAGGACAGGTTCTTCACTCTGCGGACAAGATTCCTCACTCTGAGGACAAGGTTTCTCACTCTGAGGACAAGGTTCCTCACTCTGAGGAGAAGGTTCTACAATCTGAGGACAAGGTTCCTCGCACTGAGGACAAGGTTCTTCAATCTGAGAAAAAGTTCCTCACACTGTGGACAAGGTTCCTCACTTTGAGGACAAGGTTCTTCACTATGAGGACAAGGTTCTTCGCTCTGA